ATAATAAAAGACCTAAAGAAATGGAAAAATATGTCCTGTTCATGGATAGGAAGACTCAATATTGTAAAAATGACAATCACGCCAAAAGCAATCTACATATTCAATGCAAACCCAATACAGATACCTAATTGATTTTTCAAGGAGATCAAAAGGGAAAGTATCAAGTTTATTTGGAGAGGAAAGAGACCCTGAATAAATAAAACACTTCTGAAAACAAAAATGAAGTGGAAGGCATAGCACTCTCTGACCTCAAAACCTACAACACAGCAGTAGTAACCAAAACAGTATGATACTGGTACAATGACAGGCACATAAACCAATGGAACAGAATTGAGAACCCAGAAACAGACCAGCTATCTATGATTAACTTATATTTGATAAGGAAATAAAACCTATCACATGGGGAAATGACAACCTCTTCAACAAATGGTTCTGGTAAAAACTGGACTGATACCTGCAGAAAGCTGAAACAGGATCCATATATCACACCATACACTAAAATCAATCAAGGTTGACCAGAGACTTGGGATTAAAGCCCCAAACCATGAAGTTCATAAGGGACAAACTGGGATAAAGCTTAGAAACCCTAGTCTACAGTATAAAGAGACTGCCAAATACAGCGAGTAATGTACAATCTGAACTGAATACAATTAATGAATGGGACCTTCTAAAGATTAAAACCTTGTGCACATAAAAAACTTTTTCCAACAGGGAGAAAAAAAAATACTACCTATTGGCAATACCATCTCAGAGGAGTCTTATAGTGAAATTTAAAAAATTTTTTAAAAAGACTGATAACCCAATTATAAAATGAGCAAAAGACATAGAAAGACTTTTTGCCAAGGAAAAGATTCAGATGGCCAATAGACACATGAAAAAATGCTCAAAATCACTGGCAATAAAAGTGATGCAAATCAAAATCACAATGTCAAAGTTTAACAGGAGTGCAAGTAATAAATGTTGGAGAGAATGTGGAGAGACTGGAACTGACATACACTGTTGCTGGGATTGTAAAATGGTACAACCACTCTGGAAGGCAGTTGGGCGCTTTCTCAAAAAGCTGAACATTGAAATTCCTTATGACCCAGCTATTCCACTGCTTGGGAATATATCCTGAGAAAATGAGAACTGAGGCACAGACAGAGATTTGTACACCAATGTTGATAGCAGCGTTATTCACCATTGCAAGAACATGGAAACTGACCAAATGTCCAACCACAATGGAATGGCTTGAGAAATTATGGTACATTCACATAACGGAATATTATGCAGCACGCAGTAACAACGATTTTGTAAATTACTACCTAACATGGGACTGGCGAGCATTATGCTGAGTGAACTAACTAGTCTCATAAAGACAAATACTGTATAAGACCATTATTGTACAGCATGTATGAGGATCCAAGGAAAGGAGTGCATCAAGGATGTCTTTTGTATCCAAACCTTTTCAATCTATATACAGAACAGATCATTCCCAGTGTCTATGAATGGGACAAGGACTTGATACCCATTGAGCCTATGCAGTTCCTGGTAGACAGAAGAGATGGTCAGCAAAACCAAGGAAGCTGTGGATGTTCAGGGCAAGGTCAAGTAGTGAAGCCAAGCAGGCAGGTTGCTACCCTAAGGCACACGTTCCCTTGTCCATCCCATTCCTCCACACTTCTCCCCTGCCTAAGTTACACTGGCCCTATATATACACAGGCATAGGCATCTTTAGTTGTAGCTGCGGATGGGTGTGAGTGTGTGAGTGTGGCTCCATTTCAGCTGTTTTGTCTTAGGCACCCCTCCCCCTTCTTGCCCCTCCTGCACACTCTCTTCTTATAGTCTAGTTAGAATGGCACTTCTGAGCCACAGTCCTCAGGTCTGGGCATAGGGAAGATGCTGGACAACATTCAAGAGAGACAGTGACTCTAGGATTTTTGCTAGTAGTTTGTTTACGAAGGACCTATGTGAGTAGGGGATAGGTTACCACTGTGAGGTATGACTAATAAAGGAAAGAAAGAGAGCCTATTCCTGTTGCCAGGACTGTGTCCTGTTCTATTCTGTAGTAAGGTCATGTCACTCAGGGCACTCTAGTCATTCCAGTGGAAGATGAATATAACCCAAGTAGTGATAAAAGTCTTTCCTCTCCGCACTGCAACAAGATAAACAACCTAACTGAAAAATGGGCACAGGATATGAACAGACACTTCAACAAGGAAGACATTCAGATAGCAAACAAACACATGAAGAAATGTTCAAAATCCCTAGCTCTGAGAGATGCAAATCAAAACAGCAATGAGATATCATCTCACTCTAGTAAGAATAGCAAAATTTAATAGAACAACAAACAATAAATGCTGGTGAGGTTGTGGAGGAACTGGAACTCTTACTCATTGTTGGTGGGAGTGTAAAATGGTACAACCACTGTGGAAGGTGGTATGGCGCTTTCTCAAAAAGTTGCAAATAGAAATCCCATTTGACCCAGGAATTCCTCTACTGGGAATATACCCTGATGAAACATAACTGCTACCCAAGCAGATATACGCACACCTATTTTTACTGTGGCTTTGTTTACAATAGCAAAGAGTTGGAAGCAACCCAAGAGCCCATCAACAAACGAATGGATAGAGAAGCTCTGGCATATTAACACAATGGAATTCTATGCTGCGTTGAAAAACAAGGACCTCATGAAATATTATACAAAATGAGTGACCTTGGAGGACATTATGCTGAGTGAAATATCTCAGTCACAAAAAGACAAATACTGCATAATGTCACTGTTATAAAAGAGGACTGACATTGGAGTTGGGGAGAGACTGAGAAAGAGGGGATAAATGTATACTGCATTGAAACAGATGAGAACTGCTTAAAAGGGATATATGATTAGGTATTATTGTTATGACAGGAGTCCAGAATGAAGGCTGTACAGTGGAGTGGACCTGGGGGGAGGGATTGTATAACAATGAAAGAATTTTTCTTGTACTTTTCAAAGAGAAGAGGGAATTGGGGGGATGGGCAGGGAGAAAAGTGCAACAATGAATGAATGAATGGAAATCCAAAGTCTCTGTAAAATTTCATTAAAATTAATAAGAAAAAATATTTAAAAAAATAGTCTTTCCTTCCTGACCCCAGAGGAGCTGGCTCCAGAAGGCTGGGATTCAACCCTGAATGTGTGTAAGTGCTGTCATCAGAAAACATCTTCTCGCCCTGTGGGACAGCTCCTTGATCCCTTGAGGGTTGGAGTCCATCAGGCTGAATATTGTAGAATCCTTCCCCTGTCTTACTATTAGCAACAAAGAGATGCCTACAAACCATGTCCAAACGTGTCTTCACAGTGTTTTCAGTGTGTTCCAGTTTCTGGGTCCTGGTACAGGGGCCCAGCACTCCATTTGAACATAACTATACTAAAATTTTTTTTCAAAGAAGTGTAATAAAGGAGTGATATGCAATGGGGGAAAGAAACAAACAGTAGGTTTCCTTGTTCCTTTTTAATTGCACATGTGGTGGGGGGGAATGGAGACACCTTTACCAAATGAACAATAAATAATGCACTCTCACTCAATCATTAACACAATTCTCTTCATTCTCCCTAAACATAGTGAACTTTAGTTATTATATACCATTGAGTTGGAATGAGCTTACAGATAATTTTCCTGTGGGTTTTCAGAGGCTGTATATGACATGGTAGGCCATTGCCTATCTAATCCACAACGGAGCAGCTGGTGGATTAGAACTGCTTGCCTCCTGGTTGACAGAGCAACTGCTTACCCAGTAGGTCACCAGAGCTCCCTGAACTTTATAGAGTTGCTGGAATTTTCTGCACATTTAATCCAGTCAAAAAGCATTAATGATGTTTTCTTAAAAAGAAATACATTTTTTTAAAAAGCTTAACTTGGCCTTGTTGTTAAGTGCTGTTGAGTCGTAGACAACTCATAATGATCCTACGAGCAAAAAGACCTGAACACTTGTGTGACTTTTCATCCTTTCTCCGGGTTCATAGGGTTTCCAGAGGCAAGCTATTTCGGAAGTGGATGCCACTCCTGCTTAAACTTGTTTTAATCGGGGAGCTCCACCAAACACTGTTCACCATGGGTAATCATTATCGCATTTGACACATCAGTGTCACAGTGTTATAAACTTAACCACTAAATTTAATTTTGGGGGGAAAAAAGTAAAAACGAACAACAAATATTAGGCACACTAGTATACCATTGATTCTACCTCTCTAAACTCTGCTATCAACTTGATGAAACTTTGTCAAGCTCTTCCTCTAGTTTAGAAGTACCATGGCTCTGTGAGGGTCTTCACACTAGTGCACAAGAGCCTTAAAAACATCTCTCAGAGGCAGTGAGGGTGACATAAGCTGGGTAATAACAGTGAAATACACACACGTGTATCTGGATTGGGTTCAGGCTGCCATTTATAATGATGCTATTCTGATAAATTCTTATCATCATGCAGCAGCAGTAGCAGTACGGTCATTCTCGACATTCACAGTATCTTCATTCTTGTCATCCTATGAAAGTCAGTGATGAGTTACCTAAGCTTACATGGAAGAGGACACACGAATAAAAGAAACTATACCACCTACAAAATAATTGCTAACTTACAATTAGAAAAACATCTTCCTGGTGAGCTCTGGTGGCCTAGTGGCAAGAAGCTGCACTGCAACCCCAGAGGTACGTGGTTCGAATCCACCAGATCCTTTGCTGGAGAAGGAGGGACAATCACCTCCTGTATCAGTCAGATCTGATTTGACACGAGAGAGAGAGAAAGAGAGAGAGAGAGAGAGAGAGAGAGAGAGAGAGAGAGAGAGAGAAACATCCTCCCACATTCATCTTGTAGATATTCACATTATGCTTAGGAAAGAGAAGCTCAAGAATGCAGAAAGATCATGCCATACGATGATAATTATCTCTGCAGTTTCTATCTTGACACTGTATTAAAAAATAGTTTGTTATTATAAGGAAACATGCACATTTTATGTATCTAAAATTCAATTTTTACCTGACACACACGTTGTTAAGGAAATCAGCTAAAGGTTTTGATTGGCTGAGTGTCTCTTTTTCCTCTTCTGAGAATTCTCTTGGATAATATTGGGTGGTAGCATTTTTGGGATAAGTCCTAATATATAAAACATAATACAAAACAGAAGACTGAATACCAAAAAAAAAGAAAAGAAAAAATTAGATCCGATGAAAGAAAATATAGGTTACTACAGTTCAAAGGTTTGCTTGGAGATATTAATGTTAGGATATTATTTTTCTATGTAAATTTTATCCATAAAATATGGTCATTCTTGTTATTCTAGAGAACAGAGACAATGAATACTGATTTTCATTAAGTCTGTTTTATTTCTCACTTATATAATTTGTTACTTCTATCATCTTATCATAGACATCTTACTGTCAACATTTTCCTGGCCTAATTCTACCAGGCTTGTACCAAGCAAGCTTCTCATCTCTAGGCTCTCAATTCTTTGCTCTCCAATTCATACTCTTATTTCCAAAGTCTGTTCACCCTCCCTCTCCCTTGCTTTAAAGCTTGGCAAAGTCCCTTACCATCTACCACAGAGAAATTACTTCTCTGTCCCTTTTCTACTACTTTCTATGACTTCCTCCATCCTATACAGGCAATTTCCTTATGATTCAACACTAACCCTCCTGCCTACTCCCTTGAACTGTTCAGGTCTTTCACTCCCTCATCTGGGATGTTTTCCTTACTGTTATGTGTCTAGAAATTGAATTAAAAATTCATGATTTATTATCTGTAAATCTAAAAATTATTTTAAATCCCCCCAAAATGCATGACTTATCTGATATGTCTTTATGCAATATTCAAAGCTAGCTTAAGTTCACAAAATGTTCCTTAGCATTTCATAATAATTAGTACATTGGATAAATTTTAGTTAAGAACTATGTATGAAAATGACATGGTTTGTGACCACTTAATCGGTCAGCGCTTAATTCTTAAAGTTCTTAGTTATAAATCTGGAATTAAGCCTGTTGGTTATTCCTCTTCATACGGCCAGTAATAATTTGTCTGCTGCTAATTTTTGAACCTTGCTTGTTTAACCCAATGAAGTTTGTGTCTTTCAGGCTCCAAGTGTTCTACATTAAACAGATGGCTCTACAAGGGTACCATCTTACTCAACCCTGCCTCCTAACCCTCGGCCTGTCAACTCACTTGGCATAGTAGCCAGAGCATTTAGGGAACCATACAAGTAGGGCCATGAAGAGATTCAGAGCCCTTGGAGACAGGACGATGCCCAATCTCAGCATGAAGCAGTTAAGAGTGGTCATCACACAAAATCCTCAAAGATTTTAGGGGCTGATCTCTCCAAGGGGGAATGTTAGGATTAGAACCAAGAAGTTAAGAGATAGAAGTTTATGCTTAGAAAATTTGAGCTAGCAGAACCAGGAAGCTAATGTTGACATGCATAGAATTAGAGCTATAGGTGCATGAGTGATGTCAGAAGTAGTGGACACTTTGGGCGCATGAATGATGTCAGAGAACAGGGACCAGGGTAAGAACCACCCACTAAACTTTGAACACTCCATGGCATTGTCTCATTGACCCAGATTTCAGCTTCAAAATCCCACCCAGAGAAAGAGGCTATAAATAGAGCCTCACCTTACTAGCACACTGCCTCTCCTCCATATTTCCTTTCAAGGAGGGAGGCCTATCATTTTGGGATGTAGCTTTCTAACAACTCTATTATTACTTTTTTACCTTAAAAAAAGAAAATGGCATGATTTTTGTCCTCAATTATTCTGGCTCTAGGGGAAAACAGATAGAGTACAATGTGGGTTATGAAAGAGTCCTATGATAAAATCTGCTAAGACTTTGGAGGAATCCAAAAGATGGAATCCAGAAGTAGTCAACTCTATGTGGTGATTCCAAGTCATTTTTGCAGAAGAAAAAAGCACTGAACTTGATCCAGGTAGCCAAGGTTGTTATCGTTGAGTTGCTGTCAAGTATGACTCTTAGCAATCCTCTGAACAGTCAATGTGAACCCTGCTCTATCCTGTACCAGCCTCTGAACAGTCAACGTGAACCCTGCTCTATCCTGTTCCAGCCTCTGAACAGTTAACGTGAACCCTGCTCTAACCTGTACCAGCCTCTGAACAGTCAACATGAACCCTGCTCTATCCTGTGCCAGTCTCATCATCTCTGACACACTAGAACCTACTGCTAAACTCTTGTGCCAACCCATCTCACTGGGGGTTTTCCTCTTTTTCACTGACCATCTTTCCAAGCATTTTGTCACTTTCTAAGAAATAGCCTCGCCTAGTTACAGATGTCATCTGCATAATGCAGACTGTTGATAGATCTTCCACCAATCTTTACCCCACATTTCTCCTCATAGAGCCCAGTCTCCTGGATAATCTGTTCTGCATACAGGTTGAAAAGGTATGGAGATAGGATGCATCCCTGGCATACGCCCTTCCCAATTTTGAACCATGCAGTGTTCCCTTGCTCTGTTCTGACGACTGTCTCTTGGTCCAAGTATAGGTTTCGCATTAGAACGATCAAGTGTTCTGGGATTCCCATTCTTCTCACAATCAGCCACAGTTTGTTATGATCCACACAGTCAAATGCCTTTGCATAGTCAATGAAACACAGATAGACATTCCTCTGGTATTCCCTGCTTTCAGCTAAGATCCATCTAACATTAGCTAAAATATCCCTATTACCACAACACCTTCTAAACCCAGCCTGGACTTCTGGCAGGAACTGAGGAGGACCTGAAGTGCTTGCTGCAGAGGATCAAGGACTGCAGCCTCCAATATGGATTGAGGCTGAATGTCAAGAAGACAAAGATTCTCACCACTGGACCAATTGGCAGCATCAGGATGGATGGTGAAGAGATTGAGATTGTTCAAAGCTTTAGTTTGCTTGGCTCCACTGTCAACACTCTTGGTACCAGTAGCCAGAAAATTAAAAGGCGCATTGCAATGTGAAAATCTGCTGTTAGGGACCTCTCCAAAGTACTGAAGAGCAATGGTGTCTCTCTGGAGACTAAGGTGTGTCTGATACAGGCCATGGTCTTTGCAATCACTTGTTATGCATCAGAGAGTTGGACAATGACCAAGGAGGACAGAAAGAGAATTGATGCCTTTGAGCTGTGGTGCTGGAGAAGAGTATTGAGAGTACCATGGATTACTAGGAAAACAAACAGATTCATCCTGGAAAGGGTTAAACTGGGTGGCTTCTTGGAGGCAAGGATTCTGAAGCTCTGTTTAACATACTTTGAGCATGTTATAAGGAGAGATCGATCCTTAGAGAAGGACATCATGCTTGGGAGGATGCAGGGACAGCACAGGAGGGGAAGGCCCTCTATGAGGTGGATTGATTCAGTGACGGGTAATTGGATGGGTGTGTCAGAGAGAGTGCGAATTGCACAGGACAGAGCAGAGTTTAGGGCTGTTGTACATAGGGTCGCTATGAGTCGCAAGCGACTCGACGGCACGTAACAACAACAGTTACATGTACAAAGTATGGAAGATAAAGCTTTGCCATCTTAGCCTCCAAGGAGCACTCTGCTGCATTTTTCCCCAAGATGTATATGTCTGTTCTTTTTTGACAGTCTATGGGATAATTCAGTACTCTTCTCCAACACCACAACTCAAAGGCATCAATTATCTGTTATTCTTAGTCACTGCCTAACTCTCAGATGCATATCAAGTGATTGAAAACACTATGGCCCAAATTAGGTGCACTTGAGTCTTCAAATTGAGATCATTGCTCTTCAGTATTTTGGAAAAGTCCCTGACAGCCGTCTTGTCCTTGTCTCCTGATTTCCCGATTGCTGGTACCAAGGGTGTTAATTGTTGACCCAAGCAAGATGAAATATTGACAGCTTCAATACTTTTGCACCTATCATAATGTTGACTGTTGGTCCTGTGGTGATGATATTTGTTTTCTTAATGTTGAGATGTAAGTTATATTGAAGGCCTTGATGTTCTGCAGCAAGTCTTTCGTATCCTTACGAAGGGCATTTTATGAGAAGGATTAACATAGATAAATGCAAAGGCAGGAAGATGTGGAAGAACAAATTGACTGGGAGTTAGAAGTTGTTCATTTGGTTAGAATACTGAGTACATTTCACAAATGTTAGTAGCCTGGAGAGTTAGTCAATGTTGAGTCATAGAAGGATGACCTTGTATGTTATCCTAAGGGGTATAGATATATTTCTGTAAATGATGGAGATATAATAAAAAGATTTAGGCAATGAAGTAAGATAATATTCTTTTAAAAACACTCACTCAGGTGGGTTGTTTTGGGCCATATTAAGAAAAAAGAAAATGAAGAGGTAATTGTATTATTCTAAGAGAACTGAACTACTCTGTAGAGTTTTAAGTTATTATTGTCAGTAGATTTCCATTTATTCTAAAGATCTCTCAGTAGAGTCACAGAAGTTTGTAGGTTTTACTATAATTGGCTTTCAAATGATGTCAGCCCCCTGTACACTTACCATTTTGTCTGAGTACTTATATCGCTGACTTTGGGGACAGCTAGCAGGGCAACATCTTTCTCAAGCTGTTTAACAGTGAAGTTTTTATCTTGGTAGGCTGTGCATTCAATATAGGTGTCTTTCACACTGGAAGCATCATAGTCACTAAACTTAATTGGTGCTCCAAATTCTCTTCGTTTCCGAGATATCATATATGTAATCTGAAACACACATAAACAGTAAGGGTAACGTAGTTACATCCAGGAGGAAAATGGATGTGTGCTAGACAAAGTTAGTGCTCAGCTCAGATGCCCTAGCACACTCTCCATGTGCACTTTACCTCCTCTGCATCTGAAAACTGGACGATGACTCAGGATGACAATGAAGCAGCACTGTCTTTGAGTGATGGGGTTGGAGCAGAGTGCTGCATATCCCATGGGTGGCCAAAAGAAAAAGCACGTATGTGTCTTGGAGAAAGTACAACCAGGTTGTTCCATGTAGGCAAGGATGGTGACACTTCATGTCACATACTTTGGGCATACTGTTAAGAGACGCTGTTCCTTGGAGAGGAACAGTATGCTTGGAAAGGTGGGGAGTAAGCAAAAGAAAGGAAGACCCTCAATGAGCTGGAGTGACTGTAACAACGGGCTAGGGCAGCTCAGAGGTGATGAGGATGGTGCAGGATAGGGCGAGGTTCAGATCTGGTGTTACAGGGTTGCTATGAGAGTAGTCGACTTGATGGCACCTAACAGCAACAACAACTTCACCTGCAGGGGCTTTGGATATCAATAGATGACAATGCTGCTCCTCTTTGGAGGATGCCCTGGGGAGCTCTGGTGGCCTAGTGGTAAGAACCTGTATTGCAATCCTAAAGGGACATGGTTTGAATCCACCAGCTGCTCCACTGGAGAAGGAAGGGCAATCTCCTCCATGCAATTTCCAGCCTCTGAAAAATGACTATGGGGTCTTCTAGAGGTCATCCAGTAGTCTGTGAATTATAGCGACCCCATATACAGCAGCTCTGAATCCTGCTCTATCCTGAGGCAACCTCACCGTCTCCGACACATCTACCCCCCATTACTCCAATCACTGAGTCAATCCATCTCATTGAGGGTCTTCCCTTCCTGCACTGTTCTTCCAGCCTCCCAAGTATAATATTCCTCTCCACGGACTGGTCCTGCCTTTCAATATGCCCAAAGTATGTCAGACAAAACTTCAGAATGCTTTACTCCAAGGAGCAGGCTGGTTTCACCCCCTCAAGGTTGAACCTGTTTGTCCTCGTAACAGTTCACAGTATAGTCAATACTCTTCTCCAGTACCAAAGCTCAAAGGTGTCAATTCTCCTTCTATCATCCCTAGTAACTGTTATCCAGCTTTCTGATGCATAGCATCTAATTGTGAAGACCATGGCATGCATGGATCAGGCGCACCTTAGTCTCCAGACTGACATTGTTGTAGATAGCAAAAACAACAAGTAGGATAATAGGAAACACTTTGCCTACAAACAGCTGCAAAAATAGGTCGTTTATGTCTTGACCAGTGACCAGTTGGTACATGTAGGCCCTGTTCCTTTACCTTAACTCAGGGTTGCTATGAAATGTAATTTATAATCCAGAGTTCCCTTGCTAGTTCAGACAGACGTGTGCCCCCTGTTGGACTTTCACTGAACCTTCTGCCCTTGCAGGTCATCCTCCCTTTCCCTGCCTTGCTGCCTTCCCTAATCTTGCATGTGGCACTTTCATCATAAATTAGTGGCTCACCAATCTTTCTCTCAGGGGCACCTTGGGAATCAAACCATAAAGATGCTCATTCATCTATCAAATAGAACCATATCTCATAGCAGACATATATTCTAAAATAACCAGGCTGCTCCTTGGAGGCAAAGATTCTTAAGCTCTGTCTCACTTACTTTGGACGTGTTGCAAGGAGGGACCAATCCTTGGATATCATGCTTGGGAGGGTGGAGGGACAGCACAAGAAAAGAAGATCCTGGATGAGATGGATTGACTCAGTGACTGGGGTAATGGGAGTAGATGTGTCAGATACAATGAGGTTGACTCAGGTTAGAGCAGGGTTCAGAGCTGTTGTACATATGGTCGCTATGTGTCATAAGTGACTCAACAGCACATAACAACAACAACATTGTGAAACCCTTAAGAATAATTTAAGGTGGGTAGGTATATGTGAGGAGATAAGATTTAAGTCTCTGACCTGTCTTTTAGATTCTTTAACTGATTCATCATCAATTTCTTTTTCACTGCCCAAAGAAACCCATGGTTTAGAGACCGGTGGTTTATAAATATGCTTATCTTCAATATCACCTTCTTTATATTCTTCTTGTTCTTCAGGCACTTCTGGGGCCTAGAATAAAAAAAAATAGCATTCAAAAGCATATGGTCAAATTTAAGTTATAGCTACATTATACAATTTGTAGTAAACTTTATCTTTACATAAGGCCATTAAGTATTTTACTTATTTGTTTTTCTTGTTGTTGATTTACGCTTTTGAATGATGAGTAAGAAACTAAGTGAATTAAATAAAGAATAAAGACATATTAAGGACATGAAGAGAAGAAATGAAGAAAATATGGAAGAAGAAAAAAAGGGGAATATATAATAAAAAAAACCTATTTACTGTAATTTTACATCTTTACTAATATGCTGTTGTTTGGGGCTGTGGAATCAGCTCCAGTTCATAGGGACTTTATGTACAACAGAAGGAAATTCTTCTGCCCAGCCACACACCACCTTCACAGTCTCCACCATGTTTAAGACTATTACTGCATCTGTTCCGTCATTCTACTTTGTTGAGAGTCATCATCTCTTTCTCTGACCCTCTACTTTTCCAAATATGGTGTCTTTTGAGGAGTCTGGCCTCCTCTAGACAATATACACAAAAGGTATGAGATGAAGTCTCACTATCCTTGCCTCTACGAGACATTCAGGCTTTTCAAAGTGCTCAAGAGGAACAATTTCAGTTTAGAGATTAAGGTGTACCTGACCTAAGTCAGTATTTTTCATTGCTTTGCTTGTATGTAAAAGTTGGACAATGAATAAAGAAGACATAAGAATTGATGTCTTTGAATCGTGGTATTGGCAAGAACATTGAATATATCATGAATTTGGCACAGATTACCAAAAAAGCAAACAAATATGGAAGTGGGGAAGCCAGATGCCTCTTGAAGATAAAGATGGTGTAGGTTTATTCCACACACTTCAGGCTTGTTATCAAGAGGTTCCAGTCCCTGGAGAAAGGCATCATGTTTGGTAAACTAGAGGATTATTAAAAAAGAGAAAGACACCCTCTCCCTAATGATACAGATAGAAACACTGGCTCCAATAATAGGCTTAAGCACATCAGATATTGTGAGGATGATGCAGGATTGGGCTGGATTTCATTGTGTTCTATATTTTCTTGTATTTCATTTGTTGTTAGGGTCGCAGTGAGCCGGAGCTAACTTGATGGCACCTAACAATAACAACAGCATACGCTTCCCTGAGAAAGCTGATTTAATTCATCCCACATTTACTGCTAATCTACTCCAGGTATCATGACCTGGGCCCCATGTAAATAAACAAAGACAAAAGTCATAACCAAATAGAGGACTCCTCCACGAACACAGTTTGCTCCTGATAGTCAATAACTTGCATGAGTTTGGGAATAACACTTACATTGAAATAGTTTTCTTTCCCCTCTTCAGTTCCAATGATATAAAAGTTAAGTCCATATTTAAAGTCTTTGTCATAAACAAGCAGAATCTCAGGTCCAGGATATTCCTACAAGAATATAATCAAAAGAAAAGGTTAATGCAATGGACATTCAGTTTGGTCAGATACTGACACATAAAATTGAGATTTCTCTAATAGAAATAAAATACGTAATATAACCATACTGCTATTTTATGGCTATTGAGATCGCATTGTTAGTTGCTGTCAGGTTTGTACCTGGACTCATGGAATGAAGAGCTACCTGGTTCTGACCCATCCCCATGACTAGCTGCAAATCCTATCTTCATCCTCAGTCAAGTTTTCATTGTCTGAGATGTAAAATAAAATCACCAAACCTTCCTTCCTACTCCATCTTACTTTGGAATTTCTGCTGAAGTGTGTTGAACATCACAGCAATCTATAAGCTTCCACTGAATATTGGTGGTAACTATGTGTGAGGAGCCCTGGGTGGGAGCTGAACCCAGATTTTCTCCATGGAAATGAAGGATTCTACCACTGAACAACACTATTAATAACCTCAAATCCAAAAATCATTTTATTAACTGAAAAAGCTCTTAAAACACAATAGAAGAATTCCGAGTAAGATGGCAGACTAGATAGGTAGTAGTCCAGATCCTCTTCAATAAAGGCATCATAAAACAAAGACAACACAGAGATAATAATTCTGGAACCACGAGTTCATAAAGAAAAGACAAAGAAATTCTTTAAATACTGAATGGAGAAAACGGAATGAAACCATTGAATAAAGAGACAGAATACAAAACCATAAATTGTGTAACCAAGCCACTTTGAATAGCTGTATGGCTGTGTGTGAGCCTGGATGGTTGGTGATGTCCACACCAAAGACTAGTCATTCATCTGTTGACAGACACTCGAGTTCTTTCTAGTTAAAACTAGGCATTGATGAGCTAAATTTTGGGGTGTGGGATTACATAACCATTTTTATTTAAAAAAACTTTTTAAAAAATTATTTGTGTGTGTGTGTGTGTGTGTGTGTGTGTGTATTGTCAAATTGGATCTGACTGGTACAGGAGGAGATTGCCCTTCCTTCTCCAGCAGAGGATCTGGTGGATTCTAACTGTGTACCTCTGGGATTGTAGTGCAACTTCTTACCATTAGGCCACCAGAGCTCCCTTACATAATCATCCTTGATGGGACTTTACTATTCACTGAGGATCATCAAAAACTGAATTCTAAAAGCAACATGGACACAATAATGGGTAATATCAGATTTGAATTTCAGCACTCATTCCAGTTTATGCTATTAAATATTGGGGAAAAGGAACATTTTGAGGTAAAACTGAAAAAGAGAAACATTATATTTACCAAGATAACTTTTTTTACTGGGTAGAAATCAGATACTGCAGCTCTGTTGTTCAAGTCCTCGATAATATCTTCTTTTTTGATAAGTTTATAAGGTTTTTCATCTGTGATATCTTCATTTATTCGGCAGTTAAATATCTCCTGGGTCTTGGTACTTAATACTAGAGGAAAAATTTCAGGATGACCTAGGAAAGACAAAGAACGATTTGGATATCAAATGCAACCACTTACAACATTAGCGGGGTGTGGGGGGGAACATGTAATTGTTTGCTTAAAAGTAATTCTCTCGATAAACATATAAAAAGACTTTTAAAAACACTATTACTGTTTTACATAAATATATGAATCTATATGCTGAACAGATCATCTGGGAAGCTGGGTATCAGGATTGGAGGAAGACTTATCAACAACCTGCAATATGTAGATGATACAACCTTGTTAAAACTGAGGAGGACCTAAAGCGCTTGCTTCAAAAGGTCAAGGACTGCAGCCTTCAATATGGATTGAAGCTCAACATCAAGAAAAGAAAGATTCTCACCACTGGGCCAACCAGCAACATCATGATAAACAGTGCAAAGATTGAGATTGTTAACAATTACACCTTGCTCAACTCCACAATCAATGCTCTTGGTGCCAGCCACCAGGAAATCAGAAGACGAACCACATTTGGAAAGTCTGCTGTCAGAGACCTCTCCAGAGTACTGAAGAAGTAACAATGCCAGTCCAAAGATTAAGATGGGCCTGATCCAAGCCATGGTATTTGCAATTATGTGCTATGCATAAAAAAACTGAATAATGACTAGGGATGATAGGAGAATTGATGCTCTGAGGTGTGGTGACGGAGAAGAGTATTAAATATACCATGGACTGCTAAAAGAACAAACAGATTTATCATGGAGAGGGTGAAACCAGGATGCTCCTTGGAGGCAAAGATTATGAAGCTCCATCTTACATACTTTGGACATATTGCAAGGTGTGATCAGTCCTTGGAGAGGGATGTCATGCTTGGGAAGGTGAAGGGACAGAGCAAGAGAAGAAGAACCTCCATGAGATGGAATGATTCAGTAACTGGGGTAATGGGGGTAGGTGTATCAGAGACAGTAAGGTTGGCACAAGATAGAGCAGGGTTTAGGCTTTGTTGCTATAAGTAGCAGGTGACTAGATGGCATATAACAACAGCATGTATCATGAGAATTTCTGGAAAAGGTAGAAAAAAGAAAATGACATTATTTTTGGTATACCACCTTTAAACAGAGTATTTTTATTAATATCTTCCTTTATTTACTTGTAACTAATCTGTATGTCAATTGGCATACCATCTATTCCTAGGACCTTATTTTTTGCTATTTCCCTCAAAGCAGCCTGAACTTCTTCATCACCATAGGCTTTTGCTCATGTTGTTTCATGAAATTCTTCTATGTCTGCCAATTCCTTTTGTTACAGTGACTCAGTATATTCTTTTTATCTTCTTTTGATACTTCCTGGATCATTTAATATTCTTCCTAAAGCATCCTTGATTATAGCAACTCAAGGTTTGAATTTGTTCTTCAGTTCCTTGAGTTTAAGAAATGCTGAGTGAGTTCGGTCCTTTTGATTTTCTGACTCCAACTCCTTGCACATGTCATTGTAACATTTTACTTTGTTATCCCGTGCTGCCTTTTGAAATCTTCTATTCAGCTCTTTAGTATCTTGAATTCTTCCTTCTGCTTTGGCTTCTCTGTGCACCAGTACAATATTCAGAGTCTCCTCTAACATCCATTTTGGTCTTTTCTTCCTCTTCTGTCTTTGTAATGACCATTTGCACTTTTCCTGGATTATACCCTTAATATCCTCCCACAGATCATCTGGTCTCAGGTGGTTGATGAGTCTTCATTTTATCTTGATGCCACCTTCCTTCTTCTTTATAGAGTCCAGCTTCTCAAACGATTTGCTCAGCACACAAATTGAACACATACAGAGAAAAGATACAACTCTGATGCATACCTTACTAATTTTAAACCATGTCAGTCAAGAGATAAAGGTGTGCCAGGCCCTAGTCTTCACAATTACTTGCTATGCAGCAGAGATCTGGACGATGACTAAGGATGACAGAAGAAAAATTGATGTCTTCATGTTGTTTTGCTGTAGACAAGTATTGAACATACCATGGAGAGCCCTGAGAACAAACAGGTCTGACTTGGAGAAGGTGAAACCAAGTTTCTCCTTTGGAGGCAAGGATTTTGAATCTCTGTTTCACATACCTTGGGAATGTTGACAGAAAGGGCCAGTCCAGGAGACTCACTGGTCCAGGAAAAGGATGTCATGCTTGGAAGGATGAAGGGACAGCACAGGAGAGGAAGACCAGAATGAGATGGATTGACACATTAACTGGGGTAATGTGGGTAGGTGTGCTGGAGTCACCGCTGGATAGGGCTGGAGTCAGAGCTCTAGTGCAAAGGATTGCTATGACTTTCAGGTGACTTGATGGCAACACAACAACAACAACAATGGTGCTACTTTGTTCTGTAAAGACAACAGCTTCTTGGTTCAAATATAGGTTTCACATGGGCACAATTAAGTGTTTTGAGATTCTCATCCTTCTCAATGTTAGCCATAATGTGTTATGATCTACAAAGTCAAATCCCAAATAACTTCATCATTCTGGTGGGAGTCAACTGTTCCAACAAACAGGTGCAGTGTTGGAAGTGATTATTTATCAATACCAAGAAATTTGGAAGATAGCTACCTGGCCAACCAACTAGAAGACATTAATATTTGTGCTTATTTTAAAAAGGTGATCCAACAGAATATAGGGATTATGGAATAATATCATCAGTATCACATACAAGCAAAATCTTGCTGAAGACAATTTTAAAACAGTGCGAGCAGTAAATCTATAGGGGATTATTCAAGCTGGATTCAGAAGTGAAAGAAGGAGCTCAAGAAGCTTCCATGGATGTTCTCATCCCTTTCCACCCACTCCAGGGCAGTCTTCATCAGTCACAAGCACTAGAACAGTGGACGGAAGAGGACAAGGTAACAGTTGACCTTCTGACTTTCTCAGGGAGTTCTGGTGGCCAAGTGGTTACAGGAGATACATTGCCAAGACAAACGCAGGCAGTTCAAATCCAGCAGTTGCTTCTCAGGAAAAAGATGGACAATCTTCTTCCAGGTGATCTAAAACCTCTGCAAATCACTGGATGCTCGGCTATGAGTCAGCTCCAAGTAGACAATACATAACAACAACATCTCTTCTCTTCTCTCAGGCTCCTGAGTAGTATAAAGGGTTAGCTTAACTTAGCTGCTAACTAAAAAGTTGGAAGTCAAAGTTTACCAGAAAGGATCTGCCAAAGAAAGATGTGGTGAACGGCTTCCAAATAACCGCTATTTTAAACCAAATGGACTAAAAAAACCAAAAAAACAAAACAACAACCAAAAAAACCCAAATGGACTCAGACTACATGTGAAATGAAGTCTTGAGATGCAGGTTCAGCATGAATGAATGGATTTTGAAGAATATAAAAAGAGAACATAAAATGTACAGAGACCTGGGAACACCCAACCTTACTTCTTCTTTCCACTCCCCCCATTGTGTTTCAGTTTACCCCACCCTGGGAGGACAGGAACGCCCTGCTAAGTAATCCTACTCCTTTCCACTCCCCTCATTCGTGCTCCTATATAATCTCTGTATGATTTCAATAAAGTTGAGACTTGATCGGAAAAAAAATTTAAAAAAAAAAGTACAGAGACCCATTTTCTTAGTGGTTACCAGGGGGTAAGGGGGAGAAAGAAAGGATGCACTATTGTTTATGAAGTACTGAGGTTTGGTTTATGGAGATGAAAAAATCCTATTGATAATGTATATAAGGACTGATGTTTACACAGCTGATTAATGTAATTGCTGACAATAAGCTGCACACCTGTAAAAAGTTGAATTGGCAACTTCTGTTCTGTCATATATTTACAACAATGACAAGAAAGAGAAGTACTGGGAACTGTTAAAACAAACATCTTAACCATCCAAGCAGATATATGCACACCCATGTTTATTGCGGCTTTGTTCACAATAGCAAAGAGCTGGAAACAACCCAAGTGCCCATCAACAAATGAGTGGATAGAGAAGCTCTGGTATATTCACACGGTGGAGTACCATGCAGCATTGAAAAACAAGGAACTCATGAAATATTATGCAAAATGGAGGACCCTGGAGGAAATTATGCTGAGTGAAATATCTCAGTTATGAAAGGACAAATATTGCATGCATAGAGCCACTGTTATAAAACAGGTGGACATAGAGGTTGAGGGAAGACAGTGAAAGAGGGGATGAATGATGTATATTGCATTGAAACTTATGAGGGAGAGATCTATTTAAAAGAGATAGATGAATGGATATTCTTGTCATTACAGAAGTCCAGAATGAAGACTACATAGTGGAATGAACTTAGGGGGAGGGATTGAATAACAATGAAAGAGTTTTTCTTTCCAAGAAGAGTGATTTCGGGGGAGGGGGTGGGAAGGGAGAAAGTACAACAATGAATGACTGGAAATCCTTGGTCATGATTTCCTGAGACATTCCAGTTCATTGGTTAATTATATTTTTACAGCTTCTGTTCTACCTCCTAGTTTGTTGCATAGTGGCTGAAGTCTTAGAAGCTTGAAAGTGGCCATGCAAGGCAAAAAAAACCCCTGGTCTCTATGTGACCAGGAGCATGGTGCTGTGTGTGCGGGTGTTGTGGCAGTTTTGGGACATGAAGAACTACTCTGCCTCCAGGAGCCAGGCAAGCCAGGCTTGGCCTAGGGTTTAAGGCAGCAGGGGGCTTCAAGCCCAAAAGGGCCCTCAGGCCTGTGGCCCTCGGGGCAGTCTTTCATTGTTTTTGTTCATACATTCCTCTAGGTCGTATAGCCCTGGTGTACAAGTTGTTGTACCACGGTCACTTTTGGTTGCTGTGAGGCTGAGCACTGTGACACTGATGTGTCAAATGCATTAATGGTTGGCTACCCAATGCAGACAGAGAGTGGGGTGGAGCTCCCTGATTGAAACAAGCTCGGAAGGAGGAGTGGCATCCACTTCCATAATAGCTTGCCTCTGGCAACCCTATGAACCTGGAGAGAGGATGAAAGGCACCCAAGCGTCAAGGACTCTCCTTTATAGGGTCACTATGGGTCACCTGTGACTCTGGGGCACTTAACAACAACAACAATAACAGCTATGTGACCAGAGCAACATGGGGAAGAGTCAGGAATAGGAGGATACAATGGAAAAATTACTTCCATGAACAAAATTTCTTCCATTCATTGCCATGTGGTGTTGTTAGGTGTCATAGAACTGAGCATAGATCCTATGAACAATATAGAATTTAACCTTGCCCTATCCTCTGTTATCTTCACCATTTCTTGATCACATAGCTGTGGTGACTGTATCAATTTATCCTGTAGAGGGTCTTTCTCTTTCTTTCTGACCTTTCCAATCATGATGTCCCTTTCCAAAAAAATGGTCTTCCTAATGGTATGCCCAAAGTATGTGAGATGAAAGGTCTCCATTCCTGCCTCCAAGGAGCACTCGGGTGCACTGAGATCCACTGGTGGATGCAAACCCCAAGTGCAGAGCTGTCCAGCCTCTTGGTTAAAGTGTATCTCACAAGGGACTATACCAGCACAGCCTCTCAATTTTTGTTGCTGCTTATTATTTTCTGTTAGGTGTTGTCGAGTATGACTCATTGTGGTCCTCTGAACAACCAACCTGAACACTGTCCTATCCCGTGCCATCCTCATAATTCCCGACACACTGGAGCTCATTATCACAGGCCCACGTCAACTGGCCTGATTGAGGGGCTTCCTTCTTTAACCACACCTCCATTTTGCCAAGCATGAAGTTCCCCTCCAAGTGATAGCCTCTCCTAACAACATGTCTAAAGTATGTGACATAAAACTTCATCATCTTTATCTTCAAAGAGAACTCTGGCTGCACCTTCTCCAAGCATAGCTGTTTGTTTATTTGTCAGTCCATGGGATCTTCAGCACTATTCTCCAGTAACATATTTCAGAGGAATCAATTCGTCTTCTGGCATCTTTATTAATTTTCCAGCTTTCACATGCATACATAGCAAGTGACTAAAAAGACCATGGCCTTAATCAGGCAAATATTAGTCCTCAAACTGACATCATTATTCCTCAATAGTTTGGAGAGGTTGCTGACTACGGACTTTCCCAGTGCAATTTGTCTCCTGATCTCCTCCTGACTGCTGTTACCAAATGCATTGATTGTAGATCCAAGTAAGAGGAAATTGTTGACAGTCTCTGTTCTTTCTCTATCCATCATGATGCTGCTATTGGTCCAGTTGCAAGGATTTTTGTCTTTGTTATGTTGAAATGCAAACCATATTGAAGGCTGCAGTGTTTAACCTTGTGCATCAAGTGCTTCAAGTCCTCCTCACTTTCAGCAAGCAAGGTTGTGTTTTTCTGTATAATGAAGGTTATTGATGAGTCTCCTTTGTTCCTGAAGCCACATTCTTTTTCATAAAGTCCAACTTCTTGAATAGTTTGCTAAACATACAGATTAAGTAAGTTTGGATGAAGGATACAACCCTGAGGCACACCTTTTCTAATTTTAAGCCATGCAGGGTTCCCTTGATGTGTTTACATAACAGCCTCCTGGTCTAAGTAGTTTCCACAATCATAGTTGACCTTATATACATCAGGACAAAAAACTGTATCCCTCAATTAAAATTTTCTTAAAAACCAAACAATAACTTAACATAATTAGTAAAAAAACCCCATTCCTTAATAAGTATTACAATGTTTTAAGATATGGCTAATGGATCATAATCACAACTACCAGCAAGGTGGCAGTGAGTTCATGTTAATGGGGGGAGAAAGCCTCAGAAAGGCAGAGTGAGAATCGTGCACAGCTTGGAAGAATGTAATCAGTGTCACTGAAATGTGCATATAGAAAGTTGGTGCATATTTCTGCTTTGTATATTCTCAATAAGAACAAAAAATATAAAATATATTCTTTTAAAACACAACAATCAAAACACCTACATTGGCATGCTCTACTCTGACACGTATTGGCTGCCATGAATTGGAATCAATTAGACAGCAACTGGTATTAGTATTCCCTCTCTTAGTCCTTTTTAATCCTTTTTGTCACCATCAGCCTTCCTCATGAGCTTCAGCCACTCCAGTCTCAGCTCTGCTGCTGCCCTCAGCACTCACCCAACTGCACGTTCCTCTTCTGCTATGCACACACCCCGATTCCGACACCATCCCCCAGATGCCTGGTATCCTGGTACCCCTCCTTCCACTGCTCAGATGGATTAGAGAGGGCATGTATGTGGTGTCTCAAGTCCTTAATTTCTTTTCCAAAACTAATAACTTCCCTGAAAGGTCTAGGGTATTGTTCAAGTTATTTTTATGGTAATTTTCAGGTAATTTTAATGGTAATCTGAGGGTTTTTTAGTGATATTGTGCGTAACATTAATGAAATGAGGACGTATATCCCAAATCACAGTAAGTTAGTATAAAAAATTAAAACATAGAATATAAGTTATTTATAAGTTAAGGACAAATTTCCCATTTAAAAAAAAATGTTCCCTATACATAATACAAACACCTAACATAATACAAACACAGTATATCAGCTGCTCAATAATCAACTGTCGAAGTAAATCACATATAAGAAGTCCTTCACAACAATTATGGCTGGTAATTATAGGGTCAAATGCTCAATTAAAAATTCTGTGGTTTTGCTTTTGGAAACCACTAGGTGGAAGTGTGTGAGCTACCCTGGGCTAGTGCATCTATGGGTGTCTCTGGAATTGAGACAAGTGTTAAGAACACCAAACTTCTTGCTATCTAAGTAACTAGGAAAACATGACATTTAAAATGCATGAATTGATAAATATATATAATAGGTTACTCATATTTAAAAGTATAGTTTTAATAGTCTATGTACATAAGTGCATACCAGCATTACAATCAAGGTAGAAAACATCCACCATATCGGAAAGTTTCCTCTTATCTTCAATCCCAGGATCTCTCTTCCAACTCCAAGCAATCATTGATACTCATTCTGTCACTAAAGATTCGTTTTGCCCCTGATGGAATTTAAAGTATGAAATATATCTATGTGCTCTTTTGTCTGGATGGTTTTATTCAGCATAATTATTCTGAGATTTATTCTTGCTTCTGCCCATAATCTTGCATATTTATACCTTTTTATTGCTGATTTGTATTTCACAAAAGACAAAAAAATATTAGGTAAGATTTCTTAAGATTCATGGATTTTGGCATTGTTACCCAAAAAATGTTTACCTAATCCAAGATAACAATGCTTTTCTCCTATGTTTTCTTCTAGAAGTTTTTGAACTATCTGGTTTTATATCTAGAGCTATGATCCATCCTGAATTCATTTTTGTGTATGTTATGAAATATGATGGAAGATAACTTTTCTGCATATGAAATAACTCTATAGGCCAGGTGAGAACTTCCTGATCAAACCATAATCACCAGTCACTCTGCAGGAGAAAGGGGTGGTAGTCTGCTTTCATGTAAAGACTAACAGCCTTGGAAACCCCATGGGGACAGTTAGGAATTGACTTCATGGAAAAAGGTTCAATTTTTGGGTTTGGATGGTTTTGATGTAGGGTGGGATGCAGTTCAAAGTGAGAAAGTACTCAAGGTCTCTCAACAGTAGACTGAATAAAAGTCATTAAAGATTTCAAGTACTGGTCCCTGAACTCTGAAAATGTTATCTTATTAGGAAAAAGGTATCAGCATATCATATTATTAGCAAATGTGAGTAAGTATGAATCTTGACAGGAAGATTTATTTTCAATTACATGGATGGGTCTTGAATTGAAATATAAGTATCCTTAATTAGAGAAAAGCAGGAAGATTTCATACACTTAAAAGGGGAGGAGACAGAGGTTAGAGTCAATCACTCACAGGTCAAGGGATGCTGGAAGCCCCCAGAAACTGTAAGAAGATAAGACAGATTCTCACTTATAGTGTCTGGAGGAAGAGTGACCCTGCCCACCAGTACTTTGATTTTAGCTTAATGAATTTTACTTCAGACTTCTGGCCTCTGGAACTGCGAAAAAAATTAGAGCAGAAATAAATGAAATAGAAAACCAAAAAACAATTGAAACCATCAACAAAACTTGGAGTTGGTTCTTTGAAAAGTTCAATAAAATTGACAAATCATTAGCAAAACTCACAAAAGAAAAGAAGAAGGAAACACAAATAATCTGAATAAGAGATGAATCAGGCAACATGACAACAGAACCAACTAAAATAAAAAGGCTAACATTAGAGTATTATAAAAAACTATTGTTGTTGTTGTTATGTGCCGTCGAGTCGCTTGCAACTCATAGCGACCCTATGTACAACAGCCCTAAACTCCACTCTGTCCTGTGCCAATCGCACCATCTCTGACACTCCCATCCCAATTATCCCAGTCACTGAATCAATCCACCTCATAGAGGGCCTTCCCCTCCTGCGCTGTCCCTCCACCCTCCCAAGCATGATGTCCCTCTTCAAGGACCGGTCTCTCCTCACAACATGTCCAAAGTATGTTAGACGGAGCCTCAGAATCCTTGCCTCCAAGGAGCCACCCAGTTTAACCCTTTCCAGGACAAATCTGTTTGTTTTCCTAGCAGTCCATGGTATTCTCAATACTCTTCTCCAGCACCACAGCTCAAAGGCATCAATTCTCCTTCTATCCTCCTTGGTCATTGTCCAACTCTCTGATGCATAACAGGTGATTGCGAAGACCATAGCCCGTATCAGATGCACCTTAGTCTCCAGAGAGACACCATTGCTCTTCAGTACTTTGGAGAGGTCCCTAACAGCAGACTTTCCCATGGCAATGCGCCTTTTAATTTCCTGGCTGCTGGTGCCAAGACTGTTGACTATGGAGCCAAGCAAACTAAAGCTGTGTACAATCTCAATCTCTTCACCATCCATCCTGATGCTGCCAATTGGTCCAGTGGTGAGAATCTTTGTCTTCTTGACATTGAGCCTCAATCCATATTGTAGGCTGTAGTCAAACAAATATGAAAACCTAGAGGAAATGGACAAATACTTAGAAATGCACAATGCACGATGTTTGCACAACCTACCTAAATTGAACATCTCAACAGACCCATTACAAAAGAATAAATTGAAAAGGTAGTAAAACAACTTTCAAAAAAACAACCAAAAAAAGCCCGGGGCCAGCTGGTTTTAAAAGTGAACTTTATCAAACATTCAGAGAAGAAGTGTCACCAATTCTACATAAACTATTTCAGAAAATAGAAAAAGATGGAATTCTCCCTGACTCATTCTATGAAGCAAACATATCCTTGATACCAAAGCCAGGAAAGAACACCATCAAATAGAAAACTATAGGCTAATATCACTTATGAAGAAGATACATGCAAAAATCCTGAATAAAATACTGACCAATAGATTCCAATGATACATCAACAAAATAATTCACCATGACCAAGTGGGATTCATAACAGGTATGCAAGGATGGTTCAACATAAGGAAAACAATTACTGTAATTCATCACATTAACAAAGCAAAGAACAAGAACCACATGATCCTATCAACTGATGAGAAAAGGCCTTTGACAAAATTCATAGGATTAGAGGGACAGTGCAGGAGAGGAAGATCCTCTATGAGATGGATTGATTCAGTGACTGGGGTAATGGGGGTAGGTGTGTCAGAGACAATGAGATTGACACAAGATAGAGCAAGGTTTAGGGCTGTTGTATATAAGGTCACTATGAGTCTCAGGCGACTCGATGGCACATAAAAACAACAGGAAATAACTGACAATTTCATTTCTATTATGACATTGTCTACTGTCCCAGTAGTGAGGACTTTTACTCTATAGTCAGTCACGAGCACCTTTCAAATTCTCCTATAAGGTAGTTGGTTGTCCTTTACAAATTGGAAGTTTAATGGTTTGAATCAGTAGGCAGAAGATGTTGCAATCTGCTTCCATGAAGAGTACAACCTCAGAGACCCTATGGAGAAATTATTTTCTGCCTTACAGGGCTACTATGAACTGGAATCAACTCAATAGCAGGAAGTATTGGTTTGAGCCTCTATTTCACACTTGAAGCAAAATAGTATAGTAGCAAATGCAATTACAGATTAATAGAACCAAATGGACTTTCTGCACACTGAAGGCAAGAGAAAACAGTCACAACAACGATAATAAATTCTGTATCACACAATGATGACCCTTAGACTAATTTGAAATTCTCTCTTCCACATTTAAAAAAATTTTATATAAAATATTTCCATAGAGTAAATTTTACTCAAACACCTCCTTTTCATTGAGTCAGAACTGATTCACAGCTGACCCTCCAGCATATTTTCAGAGGCTTAAATTGTACAGGAGGAGACTGATCATCTTTCTCCTGAGGAGAAAGCTCACTTTTAGGTTAGGAGCATAAATCTTTACCAATTAGGCTATCAGAGATTAAATGTTGTTAGATGCCATTCAGTCGAGTACAACTCATAATCACCCTATGAACAATGGATCTGAACCCTGTCCGATCCTGTGCTATCCTCACTTCCTGACATACTTGAGTCCATGTGGGCTCTATGTCACTATGTCAGTTAATCTGATTGATGTTCATACTCTTTTGTGCTTACTTCTGCCTTTCCAAGTATGTCTCTCTCCATGGATTACAGCATACCCAAAGTATGTGAGACAAAGATTTGTCACCTTTTTCTCCAAGGAGAACTCTGGCTGTACTTTCTCCAACACTTATTTGTTTGTACTTCTGGCAGTCCATGGGATATTTAGTACTGTTCTCCAACACAACTCAAAAGGCATTGATTATCCTGTCATCCTTACTCAATGTCCAGCTCTCAGATGTATAGCAAGTGATTGAAATGACCATAGCCTGAACCAGGAAACCTTAGTCTTCAAACTGATATCATTGTTCCTCAGTCATTTGAAGAGGTCCCTAACTGTGGACTTCCTCAATGCAGTATGTCTCTTGATATCCTGTCTGCTGGTACAAAGTATATTGATTGTGGATCTAGTGAGATGAAGTCATTAACAGTTTCAACCTTTTCTTCATTTTCCATGATGTTGTCTATCAGTCTAGTGGCAAGAATTTTTGAGTTTTGATGTTGAGATGTAATCCATATAGAAGACTACAATCTTAGATCTTCTACAGCAAAAGCTTCAAATCCTTCAGTTTCAGCAAGAAAGTTTGTGTCCTCTGCATAATGCAAGTTGTTGATGAGTTTTCCTCAAATATTGGATACTAATGAAACATAATATGGTATAATTTTAGCTC